TCCTTTCCTCTCTCAGAATTGTTGGCTGGATACAGTAGGTTACTGAGACACCAAGAGTGACCAGTATACTCAACTTAATTTTCACTTTGGAGGGTCACAACTACATGAACAGAGGTATTAGACGAACTGTCTGGTAGCAACTACAAGATGGTACGGCTCAATTTATGTGTTAAATTGACCACCAATCACGTCTTTATTCCGCAATATGCAATTTATAGGTTGAACTTAAAGCATTTCCAACAACTAATCCGATCATCTGATTGGGACGCCTACTTTCTCTCTAATAATGTGTGTACTACCATTGCCAATTTCTGCCATCGGGTACATCAGGTCATTTCTGTCATTTCTTCACTAGATAAGGGGGCCACACCTATTTAAAAAAGCGCTACTTTTCTTTCAGTCAGACGGAAACCCAGAATATTAACTGCTGGCTACATAAAGACGGGAAATTTTATCTTGCCTTTACAAATGCCTAACATCATTGACAGGGTTAAGCACATACAGTTGATGAAGAGGATATACGAAGAACAAGTAGCTCTACGAACGACATGCAAAACGAAATCTGTTAAAATTCCGCATCGCAGAACTAACTACCACTCCCCGTTTCTCGATGGTCTGGTTAATACAGACGGACAGTCCCTTCATGATCCAGCCGACATCCGCGAAGTATGTAGCTCATTTATCCCTACATCTATGAGCCTGGAGACAACCCGTTAAATGCATGCGTTGGGTTGAGAACAACTAACGCCCTTTGTAACATTAACTTTTCCATCACTACTTTCCAATATGTAATGATTTCCATCAAACTGTCTTATCCTCTGAATTCCGATTTTATTCCACCTGCCATCATAAAACTGGGAGGACCTGACATGCCGGTACTACTACTGAACATGATTACCATTTCCTTGGAATCGAGCTACTTTCCGAAACAGAGGAAAAGATCGCTTTTCATCCCCTTCACAAGCGTGGCTCCAAACAAGAATTTAACAATTAGCGGCCAATCTATCACACTTCTGTACTAGCCAGAATACTAAAGAAATTTGTTAAGTATGGTGTGATGAAATTCGGCTCTTCGCTGGAGCTAATCAACAGGTCCCAGCATGGTTTCTTGGACAAAAGATCGCGCAAAACCTGCCAATTAGATTATCTAAACCATGTTTCGGATTCCATTGACTCTGGAAACGCAACCATACTTCTGTTCCTTGATATGGAAAGAGCATCCGATCGAGTGTCACACAAACAGCTGTTGAAAACTTGGCTTCCTTTGGAATTCAGGACTCACTCCTAGGCTGGCTATTGTCATACCTGATCGGACGTTCTTAGGTACTTACCATGGCCGACTACCACTCTTCACCTCTTCTAATCATTAGTGATGTTATTCAAGGGAGTGTATTTAGTCCGTTACTGTTCCTGCTCTACGTCATTATCAGTGCGGTTATCAGATGTATATGTCTTTCTTTTTCGCAGATGACAAAAAGATAGTCCACAAATTCTGACGAGCTGCAATTCAAGGTACACTACCGCTCATACAGGGAGAACTCCACTCCTTACATAAATGGATGATGTTCTCCGCCAAAAAGCTAGCATCATTTATCGCTGTTGTTCCATACCCGAAGGATCATTGACTCTCCATTACAAAAAGCTTTGCTTACGGTTGTCTACCAGCGAGCACGGAATCAGGTATTCTTGCACCTTTAACTTTTCTGAACAAGTGGAATACCAGCTAGCTAGGGCCAGCAGTCAATAGCTAATATATTACATAAGAGACACATACCCCAGCCAGAGTAGAACTCTTCGAAATACTCACCCGCCCCATTTTGGGTACTGCAGTGTTATTTGTGGTAGCATGAGGAAATCTGACATACATCTAGTAATTATACACAGATCATTTACCAAACGCATGCTAGGCAAAAACTCAACTAACAATTATCGAGTGCGCTGCCAACAATTCCAGCTCGATCCGATTTGGCTACGAAGATTGCGACGTAACCTAAATCTTCTCTACAGTATGATCTGTCAAAATACCTACTGCTATTAGCCCTTCCTAAAACTAAAACATAGTTCGACAAAGGAGCTACATAATAAAATGTTTACCCTGAGTATACCCAGGTGCAGGGTAAATCTGCGGTCCGACATTTTCCTAATAAGATACACCGTCCTGTGGAATAAGCTCCAAGTTGCAATAAGGTCATGTGAGAGCGCAACGTCCTTCCTACCTAGACTTGAACACGAATATGACCCCGTTCTCTTGGGAGAGATAACCTGATGATTTGTATCAAGAAGTACCAGACAACACCTGGTGGGTGAAACAAAAAGCGCACGCGGTGTGACAACCTTAGTGCTGTTACCATGCAAATTCCAACTGGTGCATACTGCGTTGAAATAATACACCTGTGAATTAATCCAAACCCTTGGAACAGCAAAAGCACACAACTGTTTACCATTCTCACTCAGAGATGATTCTCACTCGATTAGAAGCGTACCTAATATAAAAGTAAATGTAAAGCTAGCAGTTCTGCAAAGTCTTACGCTCTTTTTAGTGAAACACTCGTGTTTCACTGTGATTTTTATACTTTTGTCACCCTTGAAACGTAGCCTAATGAGTATTGACTTTCCTGAGATCTTTGGCATAATATCCCGTTTGGTCCCTTCACGAAGTCGCATAACAGAACAGAACAGATAACTTTTAGATTGTAGCAGATCGAACAGCACATTTCTCTCATAATTCTGGCCTTAACATTAGAGAGCTAAGTTGTCTACAGTAAGTCTGATGTAATGTCGAAATATATGAAATGTGTATGTGGGTACGTAGCTAGATGCTATCTGTGAAGACGAAATCAGTGGCTTTGAGAAGCCGAGGTGTCTTAGCACTAACATGGCACTGCTGTCCACTGGCCACTAAATAAATCCTGATGAGTCCTTCACCATACAAAAGTGTGATCGGCAGCCCCACATTCGTAGGTTACTGGAAGTCATCGTAATCGTTTGCGAACGCTCACGGGTGTGTAGTAAAACAGCTGAATTCGACTCTAAGCCCATCCTGGTAGAACACTTGCTTCGTCATCTACCATGGTATTTGACTGCTTTGGTTTATATCCTACTATTCCATGTCATTGATGTATAACTAAATGTTAACATCATCTCACTAATTAGTCTTTAAACTATTCCAGTTTGAGATACCAACTACAGATTTAGGGTTAGCAGGCATCGAACCGGGGACAATTGGCATCTTAGTTGTGACCGCTAACCCTAAGCCACCGCGCCACGGGCAACGCTTGACACAACGGTATAATGAACGCTGTTGAGGGTCACTTGTTTGAAGTGCACTTCGTGTGGATGGATTGCGACGCACAATCTCAATGTTGACCGCGATTCACATTGAGGTGAACCTTTGTATTTCGATCACCAGGACCGTAGCCGATGCAAATAGAAATGGGTGTTGCCCGCACGGAAACACTGCACTACTCTGACGCGTTTCGATGTTATTACATCTCATCAGATAGAGTTAGCAGGCATCGAACCCGGGAACATCGGGATGTTAGTTGTGACCGCTACCCATAAGCCACCGCGTCACGGGCAACTTTTGGCAGAACGGTATAATGAACGATGTTGAGGGTCATTTGCTTGAAATGCACGTTGTGTGGATGGATTGCGACGCGCAATCTCATTGTTGACCGCGATTCCCATTGTAGTGAACATTTGTTTTTCGATCACGAAGACCGTAGCTGATGCAAATAGAAAAAGCGAATGATTTATTGCATTTGATTTAATGGCTCTGAGTTCAATTTCGGACCCATACTTTTGCGCACGGCAACGGCGGCCACATCTGAGCCATAGGATATTTGTGATCCTTACGCGAAGATGTATTACAAACTTTAGTTAGAAACATTAAGCAGAAACTGATATTAAGTTAGCAAAGGGAAAGATTGTTCCTAATTACATTTCGACACTCGGACTGTGCCTCGAAGCGTCAAGGGTTAACTATTTTGTCTATTTATTTAATTATCTGTTAACAAACTTACAACTCGCTAGGTTTGTCACTTATATTTTCTCTTGCAGCCGCGTATCGATTAACCGCATTAGCACCAGGCAGTTTAATCTGCTTCATGTCTGGGCTTGAATCATCCTGAGCAGTTAGGTCGCCAATGTTCTCATTGTCTAATACTGGTCCAAGAAGTAGACGATGAACGCAACGATGAATCAGCAAAAATACCTAATAAACCTCTCTACTACGTACCAATAATTAGTAGTCGCCTTAGCAGCTTACATTCCACGTCGATTGGTGGCGGCTTGCAAAGAAAGTCGTAGTTCTGAGAGCCAGTCCTGTCTCTGCGTACGCAGAAGACGCATCACGATGAGGGATGAGCCGCGCTACATTGCAGTTCGATTTCAGATATGGTTGTGCGCTTCCTCCGCCCAGGCTTAGTGGCATAATCGCCGACTCGCAGGTGTATGGTCGTGGGTTCGAATTCGGCAGGATTCGGAGGATACACGATACTGACGAATATCTATAGGACGAAAAGGCGGTTCAAAAATACTCATAGCAATCCACGCAAACCCCCAAACAAATAAAAATGTGCAGCCGTCGTCCCTAAAAATAAATTCTTTATCAGGCAACCATTCAAAAGACAAAAATGCAAGCGATTTCTGTCTCTTCTCTGCTAGTCCATGCGTTTAGGTTTTTATGCGGCTGAGCTAATAATGCTGCACTATGTTAAGTATTTGCACTGTAAATCCGACATGGACGATCTAGACTCTAATGCTACTGCCTCGTTTATCTATCTCTTACTTGTACTTGCAGGAGCAAGTATGCGGTCAATGCTGAGTAGAGGCGATCCACAAGGATTTCAGAGCCTTTTCCGCGTAACGTGTTTGTATACGGCGCGAAGTTGTCCACAAGCTTCGTTGCCCGGCACATATTTGATTGCTTTCTCAAATGTAATGGAGGAAAGTACAAGATTCACGGAAACTCGCGTTTCGAGACCGGGGGCCTGTGTCAGATGAATGGCTGGTTGGTGGGCGTGGTAACCAATTCGCGCACGGATCGAAGTCATTCGCGTACGTCGCACCTTACTGTCCAAAATCCAGTTGACTCATTCAGGATCATCAGGCGACGAAGCACTTCCCGTCCACTTCATTTTGTAGAGGTCTCAGCGATCCGCATGCTGTGGCCAAATTAATGTAAGAAGAGGGAATTTCTGATTACCCTTGCCTTAAATTGTTGAGGCGCTATCGATTAGCTTCGTGTAAGCCGAACTATTTTATGTCCCGCTCTACCATTGTGCGTTAGATACTTGCAGTTCTACCGATTTTCTGCCAACAGCTGATGCGAGGACACGAAAATCCGAATTCAGTATATACAGTTGAAATGTTGCTTCTTCTTGCTACTTTGAAATTTGAAAAGAAAAAGTCTTGTATGAAAATAGTTATGTTAATTTTTTAAACTAGCGGTGTGTTTGGTGCTATGCTGTTTACAACTCCAGACTGTAACTCATTCATCTATAATATAGACAGCAACCGCCCGAGTGCTGTCAATAACTGTGAGGACGGAGGATACAGGGAATACATATTTTAGTATATCTCCTTCACTACGTCATAAGGACAACACCTTTTGGTTATGCAAGCATCTGTAGCTGTAGCAATTACCACAGCGGTCCCCATACAGTTCTTTTAGTTGGGGCGAAGCCACAATAGGTCTGTCATATCTTCCAGTTTGACTTAATCGGCTAGTTGAATATTTTTGTACCCCCAGTCGTATGGAATGTAGGACCTCTAACTCTCCGTGATCGATGTAAGTAGACATGTTCAAAATACCCTTACAGTTAAATATGTTCTGTTGATTTAATACAAGGGTTTTTAAATACAGCAACATATGTATCCTGTTGGTCAAAAACATAAAAGAGCAAAAACGTTGTAACAAGCTTTTTACATGAAGTACATATTAAGCAGTGTTCCAGAAACCTACCTTTAGATGTTTTAACACCCATTTTTCGGTACTTGAATGGTGATAACTATTCTAAAATTACTTTTCATCTCTATATAGAAGCAAGTAACGGTATTAACTTTATTTTCCAATTGTGTTTCCGTGGGCAATAAATTAAATACCTGCTTTAACATGTCTTGATATGTCTTACTTTTATGTGTCAAAGAATATAATGGTTTATGGCAAGTCCTGAAATCAATTTCCGTTAGCGAGTTCGTATTATTTTTAAAGTATTTGGTTTCAGCGCACTAGCAAATGCAATACATTAGTTTTGGTGATTCAATTAGAATTTAAGCATGATGGAAATTACCTTGGTTAAGACAAGCATGAGCTGTGACTCTGTATTAAATTGGACCGTTATTAACAATTCTTACACAACAGATCTAAAAACAAACGTACAGTTGAACCGCTAGTTCGCATGCTTTTATATTAATCACAATCGCAGTGCTGATTGATTTGTGCACACGTGCATTTGACAGTATCCGACAGAGCTACACAATTTCACGCACATGAATTTACTGGTTCTTGATAATCAGATAAAATAAACTAAATAAATTATCGCAAAAGTAAATGCTAGTTACAAAACAAGTTTGCGCGATGAAGCACTATAATACATAAGTGAAATTCAAGAGCATAGGCTTAAACGGTTTGTAAATCTGCTACTATCCGGTAGTTGAGTAAAAATGTATTGTCAGAAAATACAGTGGAATGTCGTAAATATTCTCAAACAGAAGACATTCTGATATGTAAGCATGCAGTCGTCAAACTCGAGGAATATCAATCGTAACATGATGTCCACCAATGCGTCTGCATGAACTGCTCTGGTGATGTTGTCGCCTATGTCAAAGCTATGCAGTGAATACTTACCTAAGGCATATTTTGCTTTAGTTGTCAAATGGTTGACCGCTGAAAAATGAACTGTAAACCCTTATAAAAGAAGGGATGTTGTCAGATATTACTAATCAAAGCTTAATCTCGGCCACTTCATTTATGATGCGAAAATTTAGAAGAGATTTCCGGGTGTTGTTTGCCGCTAGCTGTATTTTCTGCGATGCAGGTTGAACTGTTTTGACACGGTCTTCATTAAAAATCTTCAACTAAAGTATTTCGTGGGATCTTCTACAAAGCATTGGATAGCACAAGCATCAGTGTTTGTTAACATTATGAAACTACATTTCCTTTGTAATCAAGCAGCGATTTGGAACAGTGCTATCACAAACGAGAGGCTCCTTTTTGTTGTTTACCATAGGATGAACCACATTGTTATCGGCCGTTATCATATTTGTAAACTTGGCTGAAAGCAAGGTCTTCCTCAGAGCATAAACCAACTAGTGAAAAATATTGCCTCTACAGAAATTAGATTATTTTTTGGGGGACGGGTAAGTCATTATACTTAGACGAGTTACTCGAACCCTTAAACATATGCTTCGATTTCTCCCTCCAAGAATCTTTTGTCAAAGTCTCTATGTACTCTGTAGACTAGAAGAAAACGCTTTGAAGCACAAGAGTGCAATCTTGATAAAGTTTTCTTAGACCGATGCAGAACACGTTAGGTTGCATCAACCACATGCTTGGAGAGTAAGTACCGAGATTGTGATGCGTGATGCAGGGGCTTTATGGAGTTGCCTACGTTTTCGCACATTCCGCTTTTAATGTGGCTGGACGGTAAATTAATAGTCAAATATTAACTAGTCGAGCTACAACAGCCTTAACTAAGCAGGCTGTATTAGATATCATGGTAGTGTTCAAAAATTAATTGTGATAGTTACCGTTTCCCTGCAAGTAATGCACTGCTTCCCTGGCGAAACTTTTGCTGCCTTAGGCATAAACTACATATGGCTACACAATAGAGATGACTGTTGGCAGATAGTCAGTAATTCGCCAGTGATTAAGGAAGGAACATGCGAGTGTCTGTTACTTTTTATTCGAGGTTGAACTTAAGGACTTCCGATATATCCATTCTTGGAAGGATGATGACTTGGTGTAGACAGTTGATTCTTATCAGTTCATATATCGCAATCTCAGGTTTACCTTAAAAGTGATGGCTTGGTAAAACCTTGACTTTCATCAGTGGATAGGGAAAACAAACTAAGCGCATCTACTTCACTACAATATCGTCGAATTTCGTGGTATGTACCCTGCACTGCGCTTGTGGAACGCGGTCACTTTTAGAATTCAGATTCCTTTTGTCCTTAGTCCCAGGGATTATTTTGTCAAATGTACTACTTTAGAAGTTTCAACAAAACATTTTTCCATGAAACGCAAATGCCGTTGCGCATAAGGAATATATTTTATCCATTTTCCGCTTACTTTAATTCGATTGACATTGTGCATGAAGCATTCGTGCGGAAGTATGTAGCCGTTGTGGCCCTCTACATCTATCATTTGACCGCATGTCAGTTAGACGTAGGGCAAACTTGCTGGGCAACCTGCAACCTCGTCGAACTACTGGGTTGTAGATGGATACGTTGAGATTCAAATATGTGCTTTCCATTTTGTGTGATTAAAGTAACCGTCAACTATATTCAGCTTTGAAACAGTGATGATGCTCTGCATTCCTACGTAGTAATAAGCTCCCTAGGAAAGAAAGTCGGGCGATAACTTATTGCTCCATTCGCCTGAAATCAACGTTCACTAAAGTCAGAAGATGTTAGTTCTATGAAGCTCTTCCCAGTTTCAACTCCAAGCCCTAATGTTCGAATATACAGTATTTCCCAGCGTGATCAATCCTGAGATTGTGAGTAAACGGTTCAAAATAATTTTTAGGTTACTAAATTACCGGACTGGATGTGGCGGCATTTAAATGCCTGCTCTAGTTAATGTCATTAAGTCCTTCAAAACGGTCGTGTCCAATTTACCAGTTCATTATTCGCACTAACTTCATGAGGCTTTTTCGAATGTATATCAAGCAACGCTACAGGATAAATGTACATAACGTCAAAACCTCTCATCCTTCTAAATTTCCCCAGCAGTTCGTTACATTTAAACCTATCGAAAATGCGTTTCGCAAGCCAAGAGCCAACTGGCAAATTGCCAGAATGGGCCCAGGCATCTCAGTATTTTGCAACTTCCTTTGCAAATTATATTAAAAATGCTAAGTGTACTGCGCAACATGTGTTTTGTTTTTTGTTGCAAGACATACAACTATTTAAAATAAACTTATAGTGCTGAGGTCAAATCTGAAATTTGTTATTACTGCACGCTTTATTTTACATGTAGTTGCCTAGTTTATATATATAGAAAATTACATACCAATGCATCTCCTTTTTTGATTTGCACCTGGCTCATTCTATTCACGTGCGAATGAACCTGAAGCCTTTTGCCACATATGCAGCTGTTACAGACTAGAAATGCGAAGGGAAAGACAACTCCGGTTCTGATACGCATCCATAAATCACCTTGCTGAGAAAGGTAAAATGGGAACCCCCCATTGTGTGCCATTCTTGTAAGGTAATGCCTGTAAGGCCTTTGGAAATGGCTGCCATTTGTAGTGCACATGGTTTGAGGAGAAACTAGGAAACCCTTGACGGACTATTTTGCATGGTTAAGGGAAATGGTTTTGCCAACAAAGCGGTAAAACATCTGAAAATCTTTTATTTCCTCTGCAGTTCGATCCAATCCACACTCAGCATCTTTCAGCTTAATCAGTTGACGTAGTCATTGCGCATAAATATGATACTCAATTCCACGAATTGACTACAACTTCTGAAGACTATGCAACTGAAGTTGACCTAAGTCAAAGCCTTCGACCTGACATAAACATTGTTCGCTTGCAATATATCACCTATTACGAAATGATGCTATCTTGCAATGCGCGTCCTCTTATTTGCTTTGTTCGTAAAGATACTTAACTATCATCAGACCACTGAATAATGTACTGCACGATCTAGGGCTTTATAAGGGATGGAGATTGAGTTATAAACCACCAAGCTACGTAAAATATCTGCTTAACTGTGCAGAAAACACTTCTTCCTGCCCATAACGGGATGAATATTTCATGCCCATTTTCCAAAAGACAAGAATTTTACTTTCCACCGTAACACGACTAATAGGGATCCACGCGACGGCAATTATTCACAAACGGTTCAAAGCCTAGTCTCTAGTGTGTGTTAGGGTCTAATGCAAGTTATAACGATGAGTTCCAGTACGCAACTCAGTGCTTTTGAGAAAAGCACACTTTGGGA